AATTGTCCCTACATTTGGTCGATATAGTGGCAGCCGAAGAGGTAGTCATATTGTCTACATGTTCCCAATCCGATGTAGACACCGTTGCTGTCAATGTTAAGTGTCAATGTTAACATAGGTGGACTCGTCCATCTGAATAACTGCCAATCGCTCTGCGTGGTGCTAACGTTAAAATAACCGCCACTTTTTTCAAATTTTCTTGCCGTGGTTTTCACACCTGATGATGATTGCTTGTGTTGCAGTCGAAACGTCGTGATAATTTTATTGTTTTATATTTTTATTATTTTATTGTTTCCCTTCTACGTGACTTTACCGCAAGAACCAAGAATATGAAAGCCGTAATTATAATATATTTTGGGGGGGAAGCTCTTTGTCATAGATGTCCAGGGGAAACATCCCCCCAATAATCAAATATGCTCAAAATGTCCCCCCCAATATGTTGGTATGACATATTTTTTAAAATAATAATTGCGATGCTATTTAAATAAAAACAACAATTTGCTAAACCTTGGCCACAATATATTGACTTGTCTTCATATAACAATGCCAGATTTCTTTTAATATGATTGTGGTTATGGTTGTACTGTATATCATAAGCACTGGGCAGTGTGCTTATGACCGGCTCCAGTTTAACAGCAGAGGTCTCACTCCAAATCAGTCGAGTGGCAATATATTTTCATCGGTTGCGTAATGCTGTGTGGAAGCTACCTGGTCTGTCGCTCCGCACTAAGCTTCAGGTCTTCTCGGCCACGGTCATTCCCTCCCTTCTCTACGCTTACGAAACGTGGACCCCCCTAATGGAACATCTTCGCCGGTTAGAAACATTTAGGCTAGCCTGCCTACGATCCATCCTGGGTTTAACCAGGCTGGATTGTGTGAGGAGCTCACATATCTTTGAAAGAACTGGGCAAGGTCCCATCGGTGAGCTCCTCCGGCAGGCAAGGCTGCGGTGGCTGGGTCATGTAGCTCGAATGCCCAGCCACCGCATGCCGAAAAAGCTTTTGTTCGGCCGGATCGAGGGGGCTAAATGGGCGCGGCACGGGCTAGAAAAGAGATGGAGTGATGTGGTACAGGAGGACGTGGAGCTGAGTGGACTTGCCAGTGACTGGTACCAGCGGTGTCAAGATCGGCCTCTGTGGAGGAGGCTCGTGAAGGATGCTACTGGGCAGTTGGAGGCAGTCGCCCTCCAACAACAACGGAGGGCGGAGGAGCGACGCTCCCAACATCGAGCGGAGCGCCGGGCGGCTGAAGCACAGCAGGTTGGCACAGTAGGGGGCACAGGTGGTGCATCAGCCAGTCATCTCAATCATCTCAGTCAGTCGACCCCTGGCACCTGGGTCTGCCCCGTGACCTCCTGCCAGCGGGCGTTCGACACTTCACGTGGCCTCAAGGTGCTGCGGGGGGCTGCTGCCCCCCGCCCCCTCCGCATCACTCATACTACTACCCCCCGACTGCTCGGTCGGGTTCGGACGACCGACCTCCAATTCCTCGTCCCCCTGTACCCCCGACTTTGTTGCTGCCCGCGTAGGCATGTTTCAATTGGTGGGGCCGATGGCTTCACGTTCACGACGCGCTACGCGGGCTCAGTAGCGGGCGTGCTGCGGTGAGCGCGCTCGCGAAGAAAAACCACGTCCCGTGCGCAAACGAAAGGGCACAGAGCGCCGACGCATGACTCCCCGGTCACACCGAGCGCCTACGCACGGGACTCGAGGTCGGGGGTCAGAGGTCAGGGAGCGGCCACCGTACGCGCGCCACTGATTGGAGGGAGTCACTCCGCCCTGAGTTAAAGGCCGTTTAAACAGCCGCGCGTGTACGCGAACACCAGACGCTACACCCTCCTCTTTACCGTGAACCGCCGCGCATGCACGCGAACACAAAGCCCTCTACCCTTCTCTTCACACTCACAGAGACCACACGACACAGTTTACCCTCTACTGGCGGCTTTATTCTCTGCGAATAACCCGCTAAACTACTCGTGTTTGTGTGGGTCAGTAGACGCTAGCCTATTCCTCGGAGATCCTGGACTCAATTAATCTTGCCTGCCACTCCACTTTCTACCCTCTGATTAATTAGCCCACACTCACCTTACTCCCAATCTGATGCTGCAGAAGCTGTGGACGGCGATGCCGTGCTTCGACTCCGTGGAGAGTTGGGCCTGGCTACGTTGAACTTCGTCACACGGACAACTTGAACGGCTGGCTCCAACACCCCGCTGACTTCGCTGCTTTGAAGGATTCTCCCCTTTACTGCCTGAATCCCCCTTCCTTAATCCCACCTACAACAAAGGAATTCCGCCGTTTCGCCCCCTTGGCCTCCTGTCCAATCAGGGGCTCGGATTTTCCCGCCCTTTTGATATTCGGATCCCAGCTCTGGTGACGTCGCCGCAGTGATCTCTCCGACGTCCGCTCTCTGTTCTCCCGCGACCCGCCCACTGACCCGTGCTGCGTGCGTGTGGTCCCATCCGCGGTGGCTTTACAGCCCATGCCGTGACCATGCAATTCTAATATCAGGTCTCGGCGCCGCGGTGCTGGTCAGCCTAGGAAGTAGGTCGCCCAATTCCCCGGCCGCAGGAAACCATGAAGCTTGATCCCATTAGGGGCTTCTGGACAAAAAACCTGTCAGCCAGGTGACCCCACCTCAGGCCCTATGTGGGGTGTGCGTGTGTGGGGTGTGCGTGTGTGGGGTGTGCGTGTGTGGGGTGTGCGTGTGTGGGGTGTGCGTGTGTGGGGTGTGCGTGCGTGGGGTGTGCGTGTGTGGGGTGGCTGTGTGTGGGGTGTGCGTGTGTGGGGTGGCTGTGTGTGGGGTGTGCGTGTGTGGGGGGTGTGTGTGTGGGTGTGTGTGTGTGGGGTGTGCGTGTGTGGGGTGTGCGTGTGTGGGGTGTGTGGGGTGTGCGTGTGTGGGGTGGCTGTGTGTGGGGTGTGCGTGTGTGGGGGGTGTGTGTGTGGGGTGTGTGTGTGTGGGGTGTGCGTGCGTGGGGTGTGCGTGCATGGGGTGTGCGTGTGTGGGGTGTGCGTGCGTGGGGTGTGCGTGCGTGGGGTGTGCGTGTGTGGGGTGTGCGTGTGTGGGGTGTGTGTGTGTGGGGTGTGCGTGTGTGGGGTGTGTGGGGTGTGCGTGTGTGGGGTGTGTGTGTGTGGGGTGTGTGTGTGTGGGGTGTGCGTGTGTGGGGTGTGTGGGGTGTGCGTGTGTGGGGTGTGCGTGTGTGGGGTGTGCGTGTGTGGGGTGTGCGTGTGTGGGGTGTGCGTGTGTGGGGTGTGTGGGGTGTGCGTGTGTGGGGTGTGCGTGTGTGGGGTGTGCGTGCGTTCATGTGGGGGGGCGGCGAGGGGCGCGCAGCGTCGGCGTCGTCACTCTCCGGTGGCGGCGTCACGGCGGTGGGCACGGCCCCGACGGAGCGGCTCCGCTGCGGCGGCACCACAGTGCACATGGCCTGGCACAAGCGTCGTGGTGACGTCACCGCCACTTAGTGGCGAATGCCGGTTGTTGTTGCTGTTGTTGTTACTGTATATCTCTGCCATTACATACAATGAAACAAGAAAGGTAATGAAGAAAAAACAGAGCAATGTAAATACAATACACTATTAGACATTTTTTTTTATTTAAAGCTTTCGTGACTGCAGTCATTCATATTCTTAGCTCTTTCGGTAAAGTCACGTTTATTGTTTCCCTTCAACGTGACTTTACCGAAAGAGCTAAGAATATCTATTAGACATTATTGTAAAAAAAAAAGTCCATCCCGTGTTATTGAATTTTTTTATGTTTTAGGCAGGAAATTAGTTTTCAAATTTAGTTTTTTTTTTCTGGGGGGGGATCCCCAGACCCCCTGGAAGATTTGGTCACCCCCAATTTTGACTCAATGGCTACGGCCTTGGTACTGAACATCTGTCTCCCCGTGTCCCTCTGGCTCCCCGTGTCTCTCTGTCTCCCCGTGTCTCTCTGTCTCCCCGTGTGTCCGTGTGTCCGTATCTCCCCGTGTCTCTCTGTCTCCGTGTGTCTCTCTGTCTCCCCGTGTCTCTCTGTCTCCCCGTGTCTCTCTGTCTCCCCGTGTCTCTCTGCCTCCCCGTGTGTCCCTGTCTCCCCGTGTGTCCCTGTGTCTCCCCGTGTCTCCGTGTGTCCGTATCTCCCCGTGTCTCTCTGTCTCCGTGTGTCTCTCTGTCTCCCCTTGTCTCTCTGTCTACGTGTCTCCCCGTGTCTCCCCGTGTCCCTGTGTCTCCCCGTGTCTCCGTGTGTCCGTATCTCCCCGTGTCCCTGTGTCTCCCCGTGTCCCTCTGTCTCCGTGTGTCCCTGTGTCTCCCCGTGTCCCTGTGTCTCCCCGTGTCTCCGCGTGTCTCTCTGTCTCCCCGTGTCTCTCTGTCTCCGTGTGTCCCTGTGTCTCCGTGTGTCCCTGTGCCTCCCCGTGTCCCTGTGTCTCCCCGTGTCTCTCTGTCTCCCCGTGTCTCCGTGTGTCCGTATCTCCCCGTGTCCCTCTGTCTCCGTGTCTCCGTGTCTCCCCGTGTCCCTGTGTCTCCCCGTGTCTCCCCGTGTCTCTCTGTCTCTTGACGCATCCCATCAACCCCCAATGGACTTCTTTATACGGGGGGTGCGGTTACTCCTCGTGACGTCAGCGCGGTCACGCGCCGCGGTTACGTCACCCGCAATGTACGGGGGAACACCCCGTGACGTCAGCACCATCACGCGCCCAGGTGACGTAATCCCCGTCACGCGCGCTAGTGACGTAATTTTTGCACCATCCCCCCCTTCGTTGCGCAATCCACCATCTATAAATTTTTCCCATTGGCTGCCTGGCCAACACGTGATAACCACAACATAAATTACCATATAATTATCTCGCGACCACATATCTCTAGCTCTGGTTGGCGGCTCTGAGTATAAATTAACATAATAATGTTGTATGGAGCCAATCACGACACGAGCTCTGCGAATATATTAATCATCATACGCATATGCAACCAATCGGATGTCCGCAACTAAATTAACATATCGTTAACGCCTCGGCCAATCAGATGGCGCCGTGGCCTGCTACTGTCTGAGCTCTGGATGCGAACTGTGAGCGGTGAGTCCACAACAGGCGTGAGTCCACCACAGGCGTGAGTCCACCACAGTCGTGAGTCCACCACAGGCGTGAGGCGTGAGTCGCTAGACGAGGTTGACGAGGTGGACGAGCGGACTCCACTCACTACAGAGCGAGGAGCGGCAGCAGCGGCGGCGGCGTCATGTCGGCGGCCATGGAGAGTATCCTCCCCTCTGCTGCGGAAGTCGCGGCGCCCAGGCCTCAACAACAACACCCACAACTACTACCACCACTACAACTACTACCACCACTACAACTACTACCACCACTACAACTACTACCACCACTACAACTACTACCACCACTACAACTACTACCACCACTACAACTACTACCACCACTACAACTACTACAACAACTACTACAACAACTACTACAACAACTACTACAACAACAACTACCACTACAACAACCACCACCACTACAACAACTACCACCACTACAACTATTACTACAACAACAACACCCACAACTACTACCACTACTACAACTACTACTACAACAACTACCACTACTACAACTACCACTACTACAACAACTACCACCACTACAACAACTACCACCACCACTACAACAACTACAACAACTACCACCAACACTACAACAACTACCACCACTACAACAACTACTACAACAACTACTACAACAACTACCACCACTACAACTACTACAACTACCACCACTACAACAACTACTACTACAACAACTACCACTACTACAACAACTACCACTACTACAACTACTACAACAACTACCACTACTAAAACAACTACCATTTACTACACTACTACAACAACTTACACTAGTACAACTACCACTACTACAACAACTACTACCACTACTACAACATCTTGCACTACTACAACAACTACCACTACTAAAACAACTACCACTACTACAACAACTACCACTACTAAAACAACTACCACTACTACAACAACTACCACTACTAAAACAATACCACTACTAAAACAACTACCACTACTACCACTACGACAACTACCACTACTAAAACAACTACCACCACTACAACACACACCCCACCACACACCCCACAACACACCACACACACACCGCACACACGACACACCCCACCACACACACCACACACACTCCACACACCCCACCACACACCCCCCACCACACACCACACACCCCACCACACACACCACACACACCACACACACCACACCACATACACCACACACCCCACCACACACCCCACCACACACCCCACCACACACCCCACCACACACACCACACCACACACACCACACACACCACACACCCACACACCACACACCCCACCACACACACAACACACCACACACACCACATCACACACACCCCACCACACACCCCACCACACACCCCACCACACACACCACACACCACACACCCCACCACACACACCACACACACACCACCAGACACCGCACACACAGCACACACACCGCACACACCACACACACACCACACACCACACACACACCACACACACCACACCACACCACCACACACCGCACCACACACCGCACCACACACCACACCACATACACCACACACACCGCACACACACCACACACACCACCACACACACCCCACCACACACCCCAACACACACCACCACACACACCACACCACACATACACCACACACACCACACACACCACACACACCCCACCACACACACACCGCACACACACCACCACACACACCCCACCACACACCCCACACACACCACACACACCACACACACCACACCACATACACCACACACACCACACACACCACACACCCCACTATACACCACACACACCACACACACCTTACCACACACACCTTACCACACACCCCACCACACACACACCACACACACCACACACACACCACCACACACCCCACCACACACACCACACCACACCACACACACCACACACACACCACACACACACCACACACACACCACCACACACACCACACACACCACCACACACACCACACCACATACACCACACACACCACACACACCACACACCACTCCACACACACCACACACACCACCACACACCACACACACACCACACACACCACACACACCACACCACATACACCACACACACCACACACACCACACACCCCACCATACACCACACACACCACACACACCTTACCACACACACCTTACCACACACCCCACCACACACACACCACACACACCACACACACACCACCACACACCCCACCACACACACCACACCACACCACATACACCACACATACACCACACACACACCACACACACACCACCACACACACCACACACACCACCACACACACCACACCACACCACATACACCACACACCACTCCACACACACCACACACACCACACACACCACACACAACACACACCCCACCACACACACAACACACCACACACACCACACCACACACACCACACACACCACACACACCACACACCCTACCGCCGAGAGAGGCGGCCGCGACTGCTCGCGTTTCCTGCCTCTTGTGGATGTGACTCGACCCTCGCCGTGTTTCGGTCGCCCAGTCCGGGAATTTCAATTTGACCGAGGGTGACAATGTCCAGGGTGGGTGGTGGTGGTGATGATGATGGTGGTGGTGTCAGTCGGTGGAGTGGTAGTGAGTTGTAGAGGTTGTTAGCGATCTGCGTTACGAACCTGGCAAGTTCGATTTCCGCTCACGAGCAACACCAGAGACGATTATCTGAATGGGTCCTGGACCCTCTCCTAGGTTGACTCTCCTCTGGTGCGGTGTGTAAATATCGCAGCTAGGGAGACAAAGGCGGCCGGGCATTGTGGTGGTGGCCACCCACTTCCTTGTGTGCCGTACCGGCCTTCATAGGTGCTGCTCGCTAACAACACTTACTCCAACAGGTCTGTTAAGGTTATACGGGGAATATTTTGTCTTTAGTGGTGTCGGTGATGGGTGTTGATGCTGGAAGGTGCAGTGGTTAGCGTGCTGCGCTACGAACCCGGCCACCGGTGCTTGGGCCTCCCGTAGGTCGACTCCGCCTTAAATAAGTACCTGGTTCGATGTTGAAACCTGGCCACGAGGGAGACAAAGGCGGTCTGGCGTAGTTCTATCCACATCACCCGCCAGTGTTCCGTGCCGGCCTTCATAGGTGCTCGCTAACCAGTACGTGTCCCAACAATTTGTTAAGGCTCTGCACGGGGGATCTTTCGTGATGTGAGTGAAGTATTTTGAATGCTCACTGTGGAGAAGCTGCCATTCCTCTATTGGTAGTTTAAGTTTATCGTTTTACCCTGTGAGTCAAGCCGCTCTTAAACCGGGTTTCATCAGCAAAAAACGACACCGCCTGCATCTCTGGAAGACAGGAGGTCCGGTGGACTGGCTCCCTGGCCCCGGTCACTGTGAAGGGTCAGCAACACTCCTCCTCAGGGTGAGGGGATCGCCAAGCAACAGGGAGTGGCTCTGCTTCTGAACAAAAGAATGAAGGGAGTGTGGGAGCGTGGGGGTGAGGCGGGGAAAGCTGTACGTCTCAGGCTGCTGTGGGCTCGTGTTCCCATCAACAGAAGATGCCATGGTGGCGAGATGTTAACTACCTCGCTTGGTATACAGAAGGTCGTGGGTTCCATCCCGACTCTGACACCTGTTTATTTGAAGTTTGCGTGTCTCTCCGCTTGGTGGTTTTTCTCCACATTTAGAAACATGCGTTTTAGAGTATTTGGCTGATGCTATAAATTTTTCACAAGATTGGCCACTTCATTGAGCTGTCAATTGTGGTCAGGTCGCTTCTGAAAAAGAGCAAATAGCTTAGTGGGCTATACCTGGTAAAATAAAAAAAATTGTTTAGTTTAAAATAGTTTTAAAGTGACTTAACAGCGGATGCAGGTCCATGCCCTTGACACCAGGACTTACCGTGGGAACTGATCTGACCAATTACCATCAGATTGTCATCTGTCAGATGTGCCTGCCATTCTTCCACTGCGGTGGTGGGCGTCCACCTAGAACCCCATTCAAACCCACAGTGGGCTGGTTTCGGCTCGCTGGTGAAGGTTGTAAATTATATTTGTTTTCATTTACTTGCAGATGCCACCCCCTCAACTCCCCATTGGTGAAGGAGCAGTTGTGGAGAGAGTGGAGAGCTTTACATACCTGAGCAGTGTGTTTATGACCAACTCCGGTTTCACAGCAGAGGTCTCGCTCAGAAAATGAACGTTTGCACAGTCGGGGGCACAGGTGGTGCATCTCTGTCAGTCATCTCAGTCAAGTCAACCCATGGCACCTGGGTCTGTCCCGTCATCTCCTGTCAGTGAGCCTTCAACACATCACGTGGCCTCAAAGTGCTCCTTGTCTGGCAACAAGCGCCGTGATGACGTCACCGCCACTTAGTGGCAGATGGTGGCTGTTGTGGTTGTGCTGGTGTGAGCTCCATGACTGTGATGGATGGGAGTTGTGATGATGGTTTGTGGTGATGGTCGTGGTCGCTGTGGTCGTTGTGGTGTCTCTGGTGGCTGTTGCGGCTGTGGTGGTGATGGTTGTGGTGGTTGCTGTTGTGTTGGCTGTGGTTAGAGCGATGGTCTTGTGATGACCGTTGACCCCTTGACCGTGACCTCAGAGCACCTTTTCAATCTGAAGTTCGCTGCGAAGGAGCTGACCCGGAGCTCCAAGAAGTGCGACAAGGAGGAGAAGACTGAAAAGGCTAAAGTGAAAAGGGTGAGGGAGTGTGCACCTAGCCTGGCATGGGAGGCGGGGGGGGAGGGAGTGGAGAGGGGTGGAGCATGCCCCTGGCCTGGCACAAGGGCACGTCTGTGAGTGATTTGGCGAGCAGCATGTTGCACTAAGAACCCCAAAAATGAGTACCTGGTGTAGCGGTGTGTAGTCATTATATCATCACCAGGGAAACAGATGGGGCCAAACGTGGTGCTGCCACCCACACTGTGCTGTTCTGGCCTTCATAGGCGCTATTCTGTCAGCGCTTGCCCCAAAAGTCTGTCAAGGCTATACGGGAAGATCTTTGTGTTGTGCACCTAGGCTGGTGCACACACCTGTGAGTATGTGAGCTTGCTCTTAGCCTGGCAGACACATGCGTGTCTGTGAGTGTGAGTGAGTGTGCACCTTGATGTCCTACTGGACATCTGTGAAAAAAAGCTTTTACAGGTCATCGGATTCCTCTAGGATAAACAAACTTTGTGAAAGATTCTGATTCTGACCTAGCATGGGCACACACGCATGTCTGTGAATGAGCGTCACCTAGACTGTCATACATGTATGCATATTTGTATGCGAGTGTGAAAATGGTTACCTATCCTGGTGCACACATGAGTATATGTGACTATCTGTGAATGAGTGTGCACCTAGCCTGGCGCGTGCGTGCTGTGTAGGCGATCGCGAAGGGCAACATGGAGGTGGCGCGGATCCACGCAGAGAATGCGATCCGACAGAAGAACCAATCGCTCAACTACTTGCGCATGAGCGCTCGTGTGGATGCCGTGTCGGCCCGCGTGCAGACCGCCGTCACCATGGGCAAGGTGCCAAACCCATGGACAGTGCGCATGCACGCTACGTGCACGTAGAGACACGTGTTCACTTACAGACACGCACTCGCGTACAGACATTCACACTCACGCAAAGACGCATCGAGGCACACAAAGACACACGTACAGACACAACGACAATCGCCATTCGCCGCTAAGTGGCGGTGACTTCACCGCTGCGATTTTGCCAGGCTGTGTGCATGTTAAGGCCACGTGAAGTGTCGAATGCCTGCTGGCAGGAGGTCAAGGGACAGACCCACGTGCCAATGGATTAACTGACTGAGATCATTGGCAGATGCACCAGCTGCACTCAACTCCACATCCTATACCGCATCAGTCCATTTTATCTCCAGCCCATGCCGTGCCCATTTAGCCCCCTCTATCCGGCCAAACAAGGTGCTTGGGCATGCAGTAGCTGGGCATGCGGCCTACATGACCCAGCCAACACAGCCTCATCTGCCAGAGGAGCCCAATGATGGGACTGTGTCCATATCTTTCAAGGAATTGTGGGCTCCTCACACAATCGAGCCTAGTTAATACAAGGATGGATTGTAGGCAAGCCAACCTGAATGTTTCAAACCAGCAGAGGTGTTTGTTGAAAGGGGTCTACGTTTTGCAAGCATAGACAAGGGAGGGCATAACTGTGGCCGAGAAGACCCGGAGCTTCGTATGGAGCGACAGACCAGGTAGCTTCCACACTGCAGCGTTACGCAGCCGATGAAAAGATAATGCCGCTCGTCTGATTTGGGGTGAGACCTGCACTGCCAAACTGCAGTTGGTCATAAGCAAACTGCCCAGGTACAGGAACTTCTCACTCTCCCCAAAAACTGCCCCACCACTCATGGGGAGTGGAGGGTGTGGAGTGTTTGACATACAATTCCCAGGCAAGTGCTTTGTTTTGGTCGGGTTCGACGGTAAGGCCCAACCTCTTAGTGACACACTCCAGGTTCATCTGTAGAGTCTCCAACTCCTCAGCATTAGCAGCAATTACCAGTTCGTCAGCATACATAACACGAGTCGACCTAGGTTAGCGGGGAATTAAACTCGGGTCGTTGGGTTAGTGGCACATTGTCATAACCACTGCACTACTTCTCCCCACACAACAAACCAAACAATAGCCGGCACTCGCCACAAAGTGGCGGTGACATCACCATGGCATTTGTGCCGGGCCAGGTGCACTCCGGGGCCAGGTGATTCCCATATATTGATAAATATCCTCCATTAGCAGACTCTTGGGGCAAGCACCCATGAAGGCCTGCACTGTGACACACAAGGGGGTTGTCACGGTGCTAGCACTACACTCAGCGGCCTTTGTCTCCCCAGTGGCGATGTTTACTGCACACTGCACCAGGTACTCCTTGCAGGATTCTACCTCGGAGAGGGCCAGGACCGGTTCAGATAATTGCTGCTGTTGACCGTGAGCGGGAATCGAATCTGGCTCGTCGGGTTCGTAGCGCGGCGCAGGAACTGCCGCGCCACTGCTCCCCACATTGAGACAATCACTCAAGCGCTTTGTATCTCTCTCCCTGTGCCTCTCTCTACCTCTCTCTCAGGTCACGAAGTCTATGGCTGGGGTAGTGAAGAGCATGGACGCTGCTCTGAAGAGCATGAACCTAGAGAAGGTGAGACTGCCTCCCCATGCGTCTGGCTGCCTAACCGTGTCTCTCACCGTGTCTCTCACCGTGTCTCTTCCTGTGTCTCTCACTGTGTCTCTCCATGTGTCTCTCCCTGTGTCTTCACTGTGTCTCTTCCTGTGTCTCTCCCTGTGTCTCTCCATGTGTCTCTCCCTGTGTCTCTCACTGTGTCTCTCCCTGTGTCTCTCACTGTGCCTCTCCCTGTGTCTCTCCCCTGTGTCTCTCACCGTGTCTATCCTTGTGTCTCTCCCTGTGTCTCACCCTGTGTCTCTCACTGTGTCTCTCCCTGTGTCTCTCCCTGTGTCTCTCCCTGTGTCTCTCCCTGTGTCTCTCACCGTGTCTCTCCCCGTGTCTCTCCCTGTGTCTCTCCCTGTGTCTCTGCCTGTGTCTCTCCATGTGTCTCTCCCTGTGTCTTCACTGTGTCTCTTCCTGTGTCTCTCCCTGTGTCTCCTCCATGTGTCTCTCCCTGTGTCTCTCACTGTGTCTCTCCCTGTGTCTCTCACTGTGCCTCTCCCTGTGTCTCTCCCCTGTGTCTCTCACCGTGTCTCTCCTTGTGTCTCTCCCTGTGTCTCACCCTGTGTCTCTCACTGTGTCTCTGCCTGTGTCTCTCACCGTGTCTCTCCCTGTGTCTCTCACCGTGTCTCTCCCTGTGTCTCTCCCTGTGTCTCTCACTGTGCCTCTCCCTGTGTCTCTCCCCTGTGTCTCTCACCGTGTCTCTCCTTGTGTCTCTCCCTGTGTCTCACCCTGTGTCTCTCCCTGTGTCTCTGCCTGTGTCTCTCACCGTGTCTCTCCCTGTGTCTCTCACCGTGTCTCTCCCTGTGTCTCTCCCTGTGTCTCTCCCTGTGTCTCTGCCTGTGTCTCTCCTTGTGTCTCTCCCCTGTGTCTCTCACCGTGTCTCTCACTGTGTCTCTTCCTGTGTCTCTCACCGTGTCTCTCACTGTGTCTCTCACCGTGTCTCTTCCTGTGTCTCTCCATGTGTCTCACTGTGTCTCTCCCTGTGTCTCTCACCGTGTCTCTTCCTGTGTCTCTCCCTGTGTCTCTCCCTGTGTCTCTCACTGTGTCTCTCCCTGTGTCTCTCACTGTGCCTCTTCCTGTGTCTCTCCCTGTGTCTCTCACCGTGTCTCTCCCTGTGTCTCTCCCTGTGTCTCTCACTGTGTCTCTCCATGAGTCTCTCACCGTGTCTCTCACTGTGTCTCTTCCTGTGTCTCTCACCGTGTCTCTCACTGTGTCTCTCACCGTGTCTCTCACTGTGTCTCTCCATGTGTCTCTGCCTGTGTCTCTTCCTGTGTCTCTCCCTGTGTCTCTGCCTGTGTCTCTCACCGTGTCTCTCCCTGTGTCTCTCACCGTGTCTCTCCCTGTGTCTCTCCCTGTGTCTCTCCCTGTGTCTCTGCCTGTGTCTCTCCTTGTGTCTCTCCCCTGTGTCTCTCACCGTGTCTCTCACTGTGTCTCTTCCTGTGTCTCTCACCGTGTCTCTCACTGTGTCTCTCACCGTGTCTCTTCCTGTGTCTCTCCCTGTGTCTCTCTGTGTCTCTCCCTGTGTCTCTCACCGTGTCTCTTCCTGTGTCTCTCCCTGTGTCTCTCCCTGTGTCTCTCACTGTGTCTCTCCCTGTGTCTCTCACTGTGCCTCTTCCTGTGTCTCTCCCTGTGTCTCTCACCGTGTCTCTCCCTGTGTCTCTCCCTGTGTCTCTCACTGTGTCTCTCCATGTGTCTCTCACCGTGTCTCTCACTGTGTCTCTTCCTGTGTCTCTCACCGTGTCTCTCACTGTGTCTCTCACCGTGTCTCTCACTGTGTCTCTCCATGTGTCTCTGCCTGTGTCTCTTCCTGTGTCTCTCCATGTGTCTCTCCCTGTGTCTCTTTCTGTGTCTCTCCCTGTGTCTCTCCCTGTGTCTCTCACTGTGTCTCTCACCGTGTCTCTCACCGTGTCTCTCCCTGTGTCTCTCCCTGTGTTTCTTCCTGTGTCTCTCCCTGTGTCTCTCCATGTGTCTCTGCCTGTGTCTCTCCCTGTGTCTCTTCCTGTGTCTCTCACTGTGTCTCTCCCTGTGTCTCTCACCGTGTCTCTCCCTGTGTCTCTCCCTGTGTCTCTCACTGTGTCTCTCCCTGTGTCTCTCCCTGTGTCTCTCTGTCTCTCCCTGTGTCTCTCACCGTGTCTCTCCTTGTGTCTCTCCCTGTGTCTCTCACTGTGTCTCTCACCGTGTCTCTCCCTGTGTCTCTCACTGTGTCTCTCCATGTGTCTCTCCCTGTGTCTCTCACTGTGTCTCTTCCTGTGTCTCTCACTGTGTCTCTCACCGTGTCTCTCCCTGTGTCTCTCCCTGTGTCTGTGCCTGTGTCTCTCCCTGTGTCTCTCACTGTGTCTCTCCCTGTGTCTCTCACTGTGTCTCTCACTGTGTCTCTCCCTGTGTCTCTAACTATGTCTCTCACCGTATCTCTCACCGTGTCTCTCACCGTATCTCACTGTGCCTAACCATGTCTCAGCGTGTCTCTCACTGTGCCTCTCACCGTGCCTCTCACTGTGTCTCTCATTGTGCCTAACCATGTCTCCCCGTGTCTCACCGTGTCTCTCACTGTGTCTCCCCCTCTCCCTGTGTCTCTCCCTGTGTCTCTCCCTGTGTCTCTCCCTGTGTCTCTCCCTGTGTCTCTCCCTGTGTCTCTCACTGTGTCTATCACTGTGTCTCCCCGTGTCCATCACTGTGCCTTCGGATTTCTCTTATTCTGCCTCACCGTGTATGTTACTGTGTCACCCCGTATCTCTCAATGTGCCTCTCCCCGTGTCTCTCACTGTGTCTCTCACTGTGTCTCTCACTCTGCCTCTCCCCGTGTCTCTCACTGTATCTCTCACTGTGTCTTTCACCGTATCTCTCATTGGGCCTAACCATGTCTCAGCGTGTCTCTCACTGTGTCTCTCACTGTGTCTCTCATTGTCTCTCATTGTCTCTCACTGTGTCTCTCATTGTCTCTCACTGTGTCTCTCACTGTGTCTCTCACTGTGTCTCTCACTGTGTCTCTCACTGTGTCTCTCACCGTGTCTCTCACTGTGTCTCTCACTGTGTCTCTCCCCGTGTCTCTCACTGTGTCTCTCACTGTGTCTCTCCCCGTGTCTCTCACTGTGTCTCTCACTGTGTCTCTCACTGTGTCTCTCACTGTGTCTCTAACTATGTCTCTCACCGTGTCTCTCACTGTGTCTCTCACCGTGTCTCTCACCATGTCTCTCACCGTATCTGTCATTGTGCCTAACCATGTCTCAGCGTGTCTCTCACTGTGTCTCTCACTGTGTCTCTCGCTGTGCCTCTCACTGTGTCTCTCACTGTGTCTCTCACCGTGTCTCTCACCGTGTCTCTCATTGTGCCTAACCATGTCTCAGCGTGTCTCTCACTGTGTCTCTCACTGTGTCTCTCACTGTGTCTCTCACTGTGTCTCTCACCGTGTCTCTAACTATGTCTCTCACCGTGTCTCTCACTGTGTCTCTCACCGTGTCTCTCACCGTGTCTCTCATTGTGCCTAACCATGTCTCAGCGTGTCTCTCACTGTGTCTCTCACTGTGTCTCTCACTGTGTCTCTCACTGTGTCTCTCACTGTGTCTCTAACTATGTCTCTCACCGTGTCTCTCACTGTGTCTCTCACCGTGTCTCTCACCATGTCTCTCACCGTATCTGTCATTGTGCCTAACCATGTCTCAGCGTGTCTCTCACTGTGTCTCTCACTGTGTCTCTCACTGTGTCTCTCACTGTGTCTCTCACTGTGTCTCTCACCGTGTCTCTCACCGTGTCTCTCACCGTATCTCATTGTGCCTAACCATGTCTCAGCGTGTCTCTCACTGTGCCTCTCCCCGTGTCTCTCACTGTGTCTCTCACTGTGTCTCTCACTGTGTCTCTCACTGTGCCTCACCATGTTTCTTCCCGTGTGTCTCACTGTGTCTCTCACCGTGTCTCTCACTGTGTTTTCCACCGTGTGGCTCACTATCTCTCACTGTCTCACCGTGTCTCTCGATGTGCCTAACTATGCCTCTCCCATGTCTCTTCCTGTCTCTCTCGCTGTGTCTCTCACGTGTTGTCTCACCGTGTCTCTCACCGTGTCTCTCACCGACTCTCTCACCGACTCTCTCACCGTGTCTCTCCCCGTGTCTATCACATGCACGATTGAGGGTCTCTCAAGTCAACAAGCATGATCGACAGTGTCAAAGACTTTTCTGAAGTCCAGGCAGATGACACGAACGTACTTGTTTGTGGTGAGCCATGACAGCAACAGTGTAGAGTATGGCGACGAGGGCAGCAGTGGTGGAGCCTGAAGGGTGGAAGACAAATTTATCGGAGAAAGTCCAGGAGGGTGGTGGGTTGCGCATGAATGGGATAGATGAATGTCCTTACAATCCTTTCAAGCATCCTAGATAACTCGATCAAACAAGCGATGGATATTGGTCTGAAGTCAGAAAGACTTAAAGGGGTGGAAATCTCAGTTATAGGATTGATGGAGGCTCGCTTCCACTTTTCAGGAACAGTCAAGGAGGAGAGAGACAAATTAAATAGCTGGACAATGGGCCGGCAAAATATCGAGGAACCAAAACAGAGAATCTGAGCTGGGGGGTTGTCGGGGCCAGTGGCTGTGTGGCAAAGCTTGTCCAGAATGGTGAATATCTCGTGCCTCAGAGATGTGGTGGTTTGGGTTGGCAGCTGAAGCTGTGGACTTCCTACTGGTGACGGTGTATGAGTGATCATGGGAAATAGTGGCATAATGGGCATTAAGGGTGTGCGCAGTGATGGATGCGGGTACTTCACGTGTGTAGTCATGGCAAGAGAGGCGCCAAACATTAGCCCACATCCCCTTCGCATCCAGTCCAGGATCTGCCGTGACAAGTGCAGTGGTATTGCGACCGGTAATGTTTCTGCCGATGCGAGCTGCAAGTGCAATGGCTTCCTCAAGTCGGCCTACTCGAATCAATTTATTCTTGAGTCGCAGGTCAGCTTTCATTTCAGGTGTAACAAAAGATGGATCACGTGCGGTGAGGGTAACAGAGCCTTCTGGGTGGAATTAATTTGAAGGTAGCAAGTGCGGTAGTGTAAAAATGGTTCTAAGGCTGCTTGAGTGCCGGATTCGGATGACAGGAGGAGCTGCGTTGTCAAGAAACCTGGCATGTTGAGTAGGGGCCCCTTTTCCGGAAGGTTTTATGGAAATCTGGTTTTGTTGGCTTGCATTTCCGTGTGGCCAGAATGCGCGATTATTGTCAGGTGGTCAGTTTTGATTACAGGCTTCACGACCTCCACGTGGTCATGATGCTCCCTGGAAACAAAGATGCAGTCGAGGGTGTTTGGGCCTCTAGGAGGCTGGGTAACAATAGGGCACAGACCAGTGCACTCGCAGTGGTCTCGGGGTGAAACAGAGTTCAAATCGCCAGCCAGAACAATAAATGCTCGAGGATGAGGTTTACCGATGTTTGTCATGGACTTCGCGGGCCACCTTGGGGGTTTAGGGTCACTGTGTCTCCCAATACCTCCCCCATTTCTCCCATTGTCTCCCCATATCTCCTCACTATCTCTCCTCCCCGTGTCCCAGATCTCGGCACTCATGGATAAGTTTGAATCTCAGTTTGAGACCCTGGACGTTCAAACTGCACAGATGGAGGACACGATGAGCAGCTCTACCACACTCACCACTCCACAGGTACTTGCCACTCGCTCACCACTCACCCACCAATCACTCATCACTGTCTTAGCACTCACCATGTACCACTTGCCATATACTCACTAACCACTCACTCACTGCTCACTTACCAGATATCACTCGCCACGAATCACTCACACACTCATCAGTCTCGGACTGGTTTCGACATTCAGTGACTCATCAGCAGGGCCAGGCTGTGCCTGAGCCAGGCCAGAGCTGCACCTCTGATAGATGCGGCTCCTGGTTCAACCCTGAACTCGGCTGAGTCAAGTGCTCTCTCGTAATGGGACGACTGAAGGTGTTCGTGATGCTGTCGTGATGCTGTGCGTGGTGCTGTGTGTGATGCTGTTGTGTGGTACTGTGTGATGCTGTAGTGGGATACTGTCGTGATGTTATCATGATGCTGTGCAATGTTGTGTGTCATGCCAGAGTGATGCTGTGTGTGATGCTTTATGTAATGCTGTAGGGATGCAATGTGCTATGCTGTAGTGATGCTGGAGTGATGCTGTAGTTGTAGTGGTGCTGTAGTGATGCTGTGTGTAATGCCCTAGGGATGCTGTGTGTTATGCTGTAGTGATGAGCATGATGATCGTGATGCAGCTACTTTTACTGATGGTGATGTTTTGTGATTTCACAGCATGAAGTTGAAGGGCTTATGCACCAAATGGCGGACGAGGCTGGGTAACGCCATCAACACCATCCTCATTAAAATCACCATCATCACCATCACTACTACCATCACCATTATTTCCACTATCGCCATCATTACCACCATCATCACCATATTTACCACCATCGTCATCACCAGCACCATCATCACCACCATCACCAGCACCATCATAACCACCATCTTCATCTCACCACCATCATCAACAACAACAGCCGCCATTCACCACCAAGTGGCGGTGACATCACTACGGCACTTGTGCCAGACTAGGTGTGACAGGGGGTGAACAGGGAATGGTTCTGACTCCGGGACTTCCGGTCACGTAGCTTTACCCGGGCCTGCCCACCATCCTGAAGGTCCTTAATGATCGTGAACAGAGAGTCAGGGATCCCGAAAGCACAGAGTCCTGGCCTATTGATGGTATCATAGGCCTTGACCAGGTTAATAAAGCAGAGATGTAGGACCTACTAAAATTCCATACACCTCTGATGTAGCAGATGGAGATGGAAAATGGCATCTGTGCAGGAATGCCCTGACCTGAAACCACATTGAGGCGCTGCAAGCTTCTCCTCAGTGTGCCTGGAAAGGCAATGTTGAATTAAGTATAATCCTGGCCAAGACCTTTCCCAGCACACTGAGGAGGTAGATGCCCTGGTAGTTATTGCAATCAGTGCGGTTACCTTTTTTAAAAATGGGGAACACCAGGGCATCCTTTCAATTCTGTGGAACCCGTCCATTGGTCCAGACTGTTGTAATGATGTCATATAGGGCAGTCTGCACACAAAAGCCACCCTCCGCAGTTAGAAGCCATCTCTTCCCAGCGCTTTACCAGGTCTTAGACTCTGGATATCCCTTCATACTTCCTCAACAGTTTGCACATGAAACAACTATTCGCAGGAAGCGGCTACTTTTAGGTTTTGAGGCACAGCAGCCCCAGCAGGGTCATCCCCGCTTGCCCCCATGATTTGATCTGAACTGAGGGGTTTCCCTTCTCCCAAGACCTCACAGATATCCTCAGAAAACCTGCAAACTTACTCCTGGGGGTTGGAGATCGGATCACCATTATTTCCCCTAAGATTGGAGATAAGTGTGGCACTGCAAGTTACTTTTTTGATAGAATCGGAGTGATTTTTGATCACGAGCTACTGAGGCAGATTCCATCTCCTCTGCAACCTGCAACCCCCACTCATCCTTGCAGCACCGCATGGCTCTCCGAACCTCGGAGCAAAGGCTACGATAAACCTTATTAATGGATGTGTGATCTTATAAATGGAGTTTGCCTGTTGGCTACTATCATCCAGCCAGAACACCTCCGTCAGCCAGGGTCTCTGGGGAGGTCTGCACTGTATATGTAATTCAGCCATTACAGCTGCATGAGCCACAGTCCTGAACCTCGCCCATATCCTTTCGGCATCGAGAGGAGTGGAGGACAATGCCAATCCCAGCTGCAAACGCTAATGAGTGTTTGAATGGGGTCTTATATGAACACCCACTACTGCAGTAGAAAAATGGCAGGCACTTCTTCATACAGATGACAAGTCGATTGTCAATAGGCAGATATCTCCTCGCTGTGGAGGAAAGGATGCCACTCCTCTGTCGGGAGCTGGACCGGTACTACCTGGACCTCTGTGGATTAAAAGAGGTCCGGTGGACTGGCTCTGCCTCCAGTTACTGTGAGGGGTGTACAGTCCTCCAATAGGGGCAGAAAACTGACAATAGGGAGTGGCTCTGCTTCTGAATAAAATTGTTAATGGGGGCGTGGGAGCGTGGAGGTGAGGTGTGGGAAGCTGTGAGTGCCAGGCGACTGAGCTCTCCTCGCCATCAGCAGGAGGTAAGGAATGATGGTGGTGGTGGTTGTCGTTGCTTACGGCCCCACTGAAGATGAACATCAGTGGATGGATGCAGGCAAAGCTGATGAGTCAGATGCCTTCTATGATCTGTCGGGATAGAGGCATCCGCTTAGGTAACTTTAGTGCCGGTTTGGGTTTTGATGCAGGCACCTGGGCTGGAGTGATTGGGAGGCATGGGCCAGATCGGCTCAATAGCAATGGTTAGCAGGAGGCTGCTAGACTTCTGTGCAGCCCATTGGCTTGTAATCATCATCACCACCACCATCACGAACCCCATCACCACCACTCCCATCACCACCGCTGCCACCAGCCATGGCACTGCAGCTGCGGCTCCGTGACTCAGTGTCGATTGTCGTTTCAGGTTGGATCTCAACATGGAGCTGCCTCAGGGTCAGGCCGGGTCCATTGGATCAAGTGTGGCTTCCACAGAGCAGGTGAGAGTTACTAACCCACTCACCCACCTACCCACTCAACCACTCGCCCACTCACCAACTCACGCACTAACTAACCACTCACCATTCACTCATACTCGCTCACCTACCCACTCGCTCACCTACCCACTCGCTCACCTACCCACTCGCTCACATACTCACTCTCACCGATCCACTCACCCAGCCACTCATCCACCCACTCTCCCACCTACTCACCCACGTGTTAACTTGCAAACTGACCCACTCGCTCACTCACCCACCCACTCACTCAACCACCCACTCGCTCATCCATTCACGAACTCGCCCACTCACCCAACTACTCATTCACCTACTCACCCACCAACTCACTCATCCACTCACCAACCCACTCACTAACGCACTCACTCATCTACTCACGCACTCACCCACTCATCCCCCGACTCACCCACTCACCCCCCTGACTCACTCACCAACTCACTCACCCACTCCCTCACTAACTTATCCACTCACCCACCTACTCACCCACCTACTCACCCAGTCACTTATGCACTTAAACACTCTCTCACCCACTCACCAGCTTACTCAGGCACCCACCCACTCATGCACTCACCCACTCATTCATCCACTCACTCTCCCTCACCCACTAACCCTTTCACCCACCCACTCACCCATTTAGCCACTCACTTATGCACTTAACCACTCTCTTACCCACCCACTCACCAACTCAGTCGCATGCCCACCCACTCACTAACTTACCCATTCACACACTCACTTATGCACTTAACCCCCCACTCTCAGCCTCTCACTCAGCTACTCACCAACTCACCCACCCACTCAACCACCTACTCACCCATTCACCCACTCGCTCAGCCACTCATACACTCAGTCACCAACCCATTTACTCACCAACCTACACAACCACTCACCCACTGTCTCTCGCTCACTAACCATATTTTCCCATTTCTGTGTCTTCAGGATGAATTGTCTCAACGTTTGGCAAAACTGCGAGACCAAGTCTGAGACACGGGGACACATACACGGGCACACACACATACACGGGCACACATCAGACACGGGGACACATACACAGGGACACAGATGCAGAGACAGAGACATGGAGACACGGAGACATGGGAGCAAGAAAAACATGAGGACTGGGAGACGGTACACAGGGACTCAAAGCTACGGGGGCTTCTATTTTATTTTTAGTTTAGAGTTATTGATTTAAAAAAATTCATTATAATCTGCATGTGAATACAGAGACATGCTCACACCACATCTGTATCTGTGCATCAGTCTCTCACCGTATCTCTGTCCGTCGCTCTTGAGGTCGCTGTCTCTTTGTGTCTCTGTTGTAGTAGTTGTAGTTGGTATTGCTGCTGCTTGAAGCGGTTGTATTTATGAGTTGGGCTTCTCTTGTACAAAAAAAACGGATGATGAATATTATTAAACGTCTCATCAGACTAACAGAGAACACCACTGGATTGTGTCTGCGTGTGCAAGTCTGTGTGTGGTGTGTGGATATATATTTTACATGGTTGAGCCAGGAGACTGAATCCTTACCTTCAGGGTTTCTTCAGAAACATAAAGCCACTGCAGGTGGCCATGTGCAATGTTTGAATGCCCACTGCGGAGGAGAGGCTGTCACTCCTCTGTCGGGAGCTGGACTGGTACCACCTAGGTCTCTGCGGTATTCAGGTCCGGTGGACTAGCTCTGGCTCCAGCCAGAGGTGGACAGTCCTCTACTCGGGGCAAGAAACTGCCAAACGGTGAGTGGTTCTGAAGAAAAGAATGAAGGGGGCGTCAGTGTGGCAGTGAGGTGTGGGAAGCTGGAAGCCCCAGGTTACTGTGGGCTCGCCTTCCCATCAACCAGTGGCAGGGAGTGGTGGTGGTTGTTACTTATGCCCCCACCGAAGATGAGCATCAGTGGAAGGATCCAGGCAAGGTCGATGAGTCGGATGCATTACATGACCTATCACAGGTGTGAGCTAAAGTGGCCCCTCGGGATAGAGTCATGCTGTTGGGTGAGCTTAATGCCCGCGTGGGTCATGATGCTGGCACCTAGGCTGGTGTTATTGGAAGGCATGGGCATCCAATGGGCCTGTAATTATCAACACGCTGTTCTGGCATCGGTGTGTCCAGACATCATGGATGCATTCCAGGTCCAAGCAAGAATATTTGCTGGACTAGAGACGCAACAGCGGATGTGGGTCCATGTCCTTGACACCAGGACCTAACGTGGAGCTGATCTGCCCACTGACCATAAGCTTGTCATCTGTCAGATACGCTTGTCATTCTCCCACTCCGGTGGTGGGTGTACATCCAGGACCTCATTGAAACAGTGGTCTGATCTCAGCTAGCTGTGGAAGGTTGCAAGCGATAATTTTATCATTGTGGCCAGGTCGATTCTGAAAAAGCTAACCCTGCTCCCCGTGATAGAGGTTTATAGCAGATCGGATTCCTCCAGTATACATAAATATTCAGATTGAGATTATTTAGCTTCTATACATTTCCATATGATAAAGCCATGTCATTGAGCGATCACTTGTGGCCTTGTCACTTCTGAAAAATAGCTAATTGCTCAATAGCCTTACCTGGAGTAAAGTTTTTAGTTTAGTCTATGGATCTCTGTGTGGTAATCAATGGGCCTCTGTGTGGTGAGTCTGGATCTGTGGCAAATCTACAGATCTCAGTGTTAATCTATGGCTATGTGAGCCTGGGTCTGTGTGGCGAGTCTATGGATCTCTGTGGTGACTTTATCTGTATAATGAATCTGGGTCTGTGTGGTGAGTCTATGAATCTGTCAATATATGGCTGTGTGCAAGTCTATGTGCCTCTGTGCAGTGAGTATATTGGTGTGTGTGTGATGAGTCTGTGTGATGCGTCTATAGGTCTACGTCTTGAGCTTATGGGTCTGTGGCGAATGTACGGATCTGTTATTATATTGCTGTGTGAGTCTATGGGTCTGTGTGGTGAGTGTTTGGATCAGTGTGGCGAGTCTCTGGATCTCAGTGTCAGTATATGGCTCTGTGAGTATATGGGTCCGCGTGTGGTGAGTCTATGGGTCTCTGTGCAGTGCGGTTATTCGTGTGTGATGAGTATATGGGTCTCTGCGTGGTGAGTCCATGGATCTCTGTGGAGAGTCTAAGGATCGGTGTGAGTCTATGAATGTCTGCGTGGTGAATTTAGATAATTTGGCTGGTGCTATAAATTCTAAAACATAAGCCACTCCGTGGAACTATTTCTGGCCAGGTCGCTTCTGAAACAGCTACAGAGCTCAGTGGGCCTTATCTTGTAAAATAAAAGTTTAAGAAGTTTTGCAGTGCTGAGACATCCTCACTCAATGCAACGTAAATCCATGTGGATGCTGCCAGAGTGGTGTCGCAGTTTAATACAATGTACTTGAGTCAGTCGGTTTATTTCAGAAACTGTTTTTCTTGCAATCTGGAAATCTCCAGTTCGAACGTTGTAAAATCGGTGCAAGATTCTTAAAGTTGTGGCGCTAAGGCTGTGCATGCCGGAGTCAGGTTTCATGCATTAAATACACACGGCAGAGGCGAATTTGAGATATCGCCCGGTACCAGATGACCTCTTCCCCCAGTGAGTTTTCATCCCTAAAACTAAAATATATTTTTTTTATTTTACCATGTAAAGCCCACCGAGCTATATGCTATTTTTCAGACGCGATCTGACAAGTATCTCAACCCAAGTGGCTTTTAATGTGGAAATGTAGACTAGTAGCCAAATAATCTAAATGCATACTCTTTGGTTCTTTCGGTAAAGTCACGCAGATTTATTTATTTTTCTACCTACGTGATGACTTTACCGAAAGAACCAAAGAGTATGGATTCCTGCAGTCACGGAAGCTTCAAATCTAAACGCACTTTGATTCTAAATGTGGAGGTAAAAAATGGAGGGCTCCCAGACAAACCCACGTGACCAACACAGAGAGGGAGACGCAGAAACTCCAAACATTATGCAGCAGTCATCGTGCCGGGATGGAACCCACGACCTCCTGCATACCAGGTAAGGGAGATAACATCTCGCCAAAAAGGGTGGGGTGATCACGCATCAATTCCAATAACGGGAGTGCTGAGCCATGACTGAGCTACAGAACCCTGGGGAATCGGAACCATTGTGAAGGTTTATTTAGTAACGCGATTGGGCTGTGAAATTCTGGGACTGGTGGAAGGATTCATGATTGCAGGTCTCTTTGCTCCTGGGAATGCCACCAGCTGAGCATAAATGAGACACCTAGTCCACGGTACATTTACATATTAATACAAAAAATACTTTTCTTGGATGGAAGTTAGCAAACGAAAGGGGGTTACGTCAAACACTACTCATCCCAGCTGGCAGCCTTGCTTCGTGGAGCCCACCAATAGGACTGTGTCCAGTTCTTGAGGGCAACTGCCTCCAACTGCTCAGAAGCATCCTTCACGAGCCTCCTCTAGAGGCCATTCTTGACACTGCTTGTACCGGTAGTGCCCGTTTAACCCCCTTATTATGCCAAACAGAAGCTCCTTTGGGCATACGAGCTTCATGATCCAGCCAACGCAACCTCACCTGTCAAAGAAGATACGAGTTCCTCACAAAACCCAGCCTGGTTAAGCCCAGGATAGTAGGCAGACCAGCCTGAATATTTCTAACCGGTGCAGATGTTGCATTCGTGATTTAACTTTTGCAAGCATGGAGGGAATGACTGCTTGTGGCCGAGAAGATCCGGAGCTTCGTGTAGAGCGACACGCCAGGTAGCTTCACAAAGCATTCAGCAGCTGATGAACAGATTCTGCCCGTCTGATTCAGTGACACCTCTGCTGTCAAACTAGAGCTGGTCATAAGCACACTGCCCAGGTATAAAAAAAACTCTCCACTGTCTCCACAACTGCCCCATCACCACTGGGGAGATGAGGGGTGGAGTGTTTAATTACATAAAATACTGAGGCAGGTGCTTAGTTTTGGTGGGGCTGATGGTAAGGACCCCTTTTCTCTTAGTGGCACGCTCCATGGTTCATTAGCAGAAACGTCCAACTCCTTCTGAGTGAGCAGCAACCGTCACCAAATCGTCAGCATAGACACTCTCACTCCCTCAAAACATTCATGGGAGATTCACTCAAGAATTAAAACTTGTTTATTTTCAACAAAACAAAATCAACCCCCCGATGAAGGCAAGTCCATGTTGTTCACTGTGGAGGGGGAATTTTGAGGGATGTCCTCCCCCCCACCTCAGCGTTTGCCCCCAACTCTGGGAGCTGCCGACTTCATCGTTTTGGCGATTTTCTGCTTGGGGGCAGCCTTAACTGCAGCCTGTGGGCAGAAAGAGGGAGGGGGAGAGAGGGTTGGCTCCACGAATATCTCGGAGTGTGAGTGCGTGATAATATGAGTGAGCGGGTACATGAGAGAGTGTGTGTGAGTGAGTAAATGCGGCGGCTAAAACGCAGAAAGTTGGCACAGTAGGGGGGCACAGGTGGTGTATTTGGCAGTCATCTCAGTCAACCCATGGCATCTGGGTCTGTCCTGTGACCTCCGGCCAGCGGGTGCTAGACACTTCACGTGGCCTTAAAGTGCATATGGCCTGGCACAAGCGCCAGGATGACGTCTCCGTCACTTAGTGGTGAATGGCAGTTGTTGTTGCGTGGATGATGTGTTTATGGTGGTGTGTAGTGTGGGTGATGTGTTTAGGGTGGTGTGTAGTGTGGATGATGTGTTTAGGGTGGTGTGTAGTGTGGATGATGTGTTTAGGGTGGTGTGTAGTGTGTGTATGTATGGATGTGTATCAACACATCCTTACATCCACACTGGGTGGTGTGTGTGTAGTCAGTGTAGTGCAACGGTTAGGGCGCTTCAAGTGCTTAGCCTGTGACAAGCGCCATGGTGACGTCACCGCCACTTAGTGGCGAATGGCGGTTGTTGGAGCAGTGGTGTAGCGGTCAGCGCTACGAACCCGGCGACTGGAGATCAATTTCCGCTCATGGCCACCACCACCACCAGTGATAACCCTACAGGTGCCTCGTCGATCAAGACCGAACCCTGTGGGAGCCTCGCCGATTGACACTGAACTCTATGGGAGCCTCGGTCATTAGCACTGAACCCTATGAGAGTCTCAGTGATTAAGCTTGAATCCTCTGGGAGCCTCGGTGTATATGAGAGTCTCCGTGATTAACACTGGACCCTACGGAAGCCTCGGTGATTAACACAGAACCCCATGGGGAGCCTCGGTGATTAACACAGAACCCCATGGGGAGCCTCAGTGATTAACACAGAACCCCATGGGGAGCCTCGGTGATTAACACAGAACCCCATGGGGAGCCTCAGTGATTAACACTGAACCCTATGCAGAGCCTTGGTGATTAACAGAGAACCCCATGGGGAGCCTCAGTGATTAACACAGAACCCCATGGGGAGCCTCAGTGATTAACACTGAAGCCTGATGGAGGCCGACGTGGCAATGCGAGCCTCACCTTGGCAGGAGCTGTGGC